ACACACACACACACAAAAGAAAACACACAAACACAAACAAACAGAGCCCAGCCAATTTCAAGCCTCGATTGAACCTGTTTTCCAGCCGGCGGGGTGACAGCCGAGGTCATTTTACTCCATCTCACATTTTCAGCATTCGATCAGCTGAGCGATTCCTGTTTATGTTTTCTCTCCCTCTCTTATCCTCTCCTTGTTTTAGTCCACATTACTTTGTAACTACACTCTTTTGCTCATGCTCTAGCTCTTGACTATTATCAAACAGTATTTAAAATGTCATTTTATTGTGATAATCTGCCTTTATGAATAATGCCTCTTGCTGCAAATTGAAATTATCTTTCTAAAAATTGTCCTTGATGTATTTGGCCATACACTTAAAGTAAAAGAGATGAATGAAGGCCCTCTTGTATATACCGACTATTCGAAATGTAAACTACTATTTTACTGTAGTCTGTCCGTAATCTACCTATCTTAAATAAGGTGATTTGGAGCTACAAGTCTTAAAACTAATCTTAAAATGAAGCTTAATCCTTGTGGCGCCACGTGTGAAGCAACTGCATGTCATTATCGTTCCTGTACTTAGAAGCTGAGGAGCTTCTATCATGTTTGAACTGGAAAACCATCGCTGAAACACTGGATACTGACTGTGATGCCAATTTATTGACATAAAGCAGTTTAGAAAATAAATGGATGGATGCAAGTTAAGTCGTGCGTTTAATGCTTCAGAGATTGATACGCGCCAGCCTGCGTCTTCTGACCTTGGCATCCGTGCTAATAAAATCCCAATGAAATTATACAACCTAGAAGAAACTTTTCCAGTACTACAATCGCTCACACTTTTGCATTTGCCGTCTCAAAATCCACTCTGTAACAGAGTCTCACACGAAACCCTCTCATCACTCGGACTCTCAGAAGGGATCCAGACCATCTCGGCTCCGCAGCCGTCGTATAATTTCACTGGTTCCATCCTGGCTGCATCTGCATCTCAAACATTCCACTAGCTTGATAGCGTCACGCCAGATTTAATAACCACACACTGAGGGGACTGGGATGTTGTCCTCAAATTAGAAACTGTTATAAAATATTTCACAAATGGCACTAAAAGACAAAACCACCGACTGAAGATCTCATTTTCAGTACACAGACACTCGTTAACAATCACCTGAACCGACAGTGCTGTAAGCCTTTAATTAAGTTCTTAAGAGAGCCAAAGTGGAATGATTATGCTCCATCCAATCACTTAGTAGATGCTGGTTTTGGGGTCAAGAGAGCAAGAACGGTTCAAGTTATGCACAATCATAAACCCACTCCCAGCTGTCGCGACGTCTTCGCACTCTGGCCGACTCTAAATGTTTTCACTAACCACAATATTTGCACCACTGAGTGTGAAAACATCGGCCGACTTCTGTGCGACAGCCTTTTAGAACTGCGAGGGGGCAAACGTGTGTGTGAATGCAAAGAGAATTCGCTGCGAATATATATATATGCGTGTGTGTGTGTTTGTGTTACAACAGTTGGGTTGAAGGTAAACCTCGGGGGGATTTTATGTAAGCAAAGGCAGCTTGTTTAAGGTGCACGTGAGGTATGTGTGGTGCGTCTATATTTGCACACACGCACACACACACTCAGGTATTTTTCGCCTGCCCACACACAAATATGGGTTATGTGGGATAAGAGACAGACACACATTCCTGCGGTGCCCCTCAAAGGAAAGGGAATTCCCAAATCCTGAAAAATAACACACTCTTCTGATGAAAATCCACAGAAATGTTTTAATATGTGTCACGGGACCCTTGGAAGAAGACTTATGGACTGCCTGCATGCAAACATGAGCTAAAATTCATCAGAGTGCTTTACTGCCTGTCACAGCCAAGTATGAAAGCTGTAACTGGATCTTGCATAAAGCTGAAGGTATTATGCAATATGCATTATGTATTTTCCTCATATTGAAAAGGTCTCTCTTTGATTTCTGGCTGTTTGCTGTTGGACGCCCTGCTCATGTTGATCCCTCTGTCCTTTAGCATTAGCATCACCTCCACGATTAACAATGACATTTTTTTTCCTTTACAATGCCTCCTGGCCCTTTTTCACCTCACTCGCCCCTTGCTGACTATCCATGTTCCTCTCTCTCACTATTTTCTTTCCTTCCTCTTTGCTGTGTTCAGGCTACTGCTTCTTGTTATCACATGAACTTTCATCCTTTCCACCTCAAACTGATCCCTGTCTTAATTACCAAACTTCTCCAATCTACCGTTTTTGTTCTTTATTCTCACAAATCCGTCCTCATTTCTCCTCCACTCAGTTAGCATGAATATGATAATTACAAACCGTCAATCATCTCATCCTATAATGCTGTCTTCATCACTGAATTTCTTCTCTTGTGCAGTGTCTCAAATGCACCTGAGCATACCCCTCTGTGTATCACTACCTCAGAGAGTGTCGTGAATGTATTAGCTAACTTTTCTATTCTCCAGCACTCACTTTGACAGAAACAGTGACAGTTTGCTTTTTGCAGACGCTGAAATGGAATTCATCGCGTGTTTGAAAGGAGAACTAATGCCCCGAGTGGACGAGGTCACTCAAAAAACCAGAGAAAGGAGGAGCGGCTGCCTCCAGAGTGTCTCTGAGGTAGATTCACTGAGTGCACCTCCGTGAATCACCTCACTAACACTCACCCGCATGCACAGAGTTTAAGATCTGACGAAGGCTGATTTAACAGTTACAAGGTTAAAACAGTCTCACAGTGAAAGATGTCTGAATGAACTGTGTGCAATTTTTTGAATAGGACTAAATAGCGATTAGTAAACAAAATGAACTTGGTTGTAGTTCAAGTTTGATACTAGAAGACTCATTGTTTAAAATGAAAGTTAAAGAAAACGATCAACTTTTACTGTGAAGGCAGAATCGTCTGCATCACAGGCCTTCTTTCTGATACTGTAAAGACATCTGGCCTACTTTTGTAGTATTGGCTGTACACCTGTTTTTACTAGTTTTACCGTTTTACTAGTAGATCTTACTAGGGGGCAGCGCACAGCTTGGGAGGAAACTGCCTGACAGGCTACATTCAGGTCGAAATAATCAGGGTTCCAAAACAATCTGTGGAGCAATGTGCAGCTTATCAAAAATCCTAATTGTGTCACTCTGCTACTGAATACTTTCACTGCACACCCACAGAGTATCCATACACCCAGTGCCGGAACTCAACTTATTCTCACACACACACACACACACACACACACACACATACACAAACAAGTACTAAGAGAAAGCCTGATTTTACAAGAAGTTGCTCACCTACAGTACTCAGCCCCCTCTACCACTAACTGGTTCATTCTCTCTCTCTCTCTCTCTCTCTCACACACAAACACACACACACACACACAAACACACACACTTCCTCTCTCTCTACAACCTCTCCAGTCCACAATCAACCCCCCACACATCCTCTTTCTCCTCCTCTCTTGCACACTCACACACACACACCATACCTTGGTGCTCCAGAGTTTGACGGTCCAGTCGAAGGAGGATGTGATGAAGAGGTGGGAAAAGTCGACAGTGCCCACTGCGCTGTGGCAGCTGATGCCTGTCACAGGCCCCTGGTGGCCCTCGAACATCTCACAGATACCCGCCTTACTGGACACACACACACACACACACACACACACACAAACAGGTGGTTCAGCGCTGCAGTGTTTCAGTGGGGCTTCATTTGTTTAAATGTAAAGCAGTGAAGTGGTTTGCGGCTTACTGAGGACGATCATGCTCAAAATAAATTTGCAGCGCAGTAAGGGAGCTTTGATTAAAAGTGAAGCAATTAACTCCTTAAATTGAGAGAAAATAATCCATTTAATTTTTCTAAAACAATTATAATTCTACTGGTAATTCTAAGTAGTTTTACTTGTTTCATACATTTTCCAAGCAACAAGGCAAAAACACTTGAATGTGCCTAATTTTGAAAAACAATTTCCATTATCCAAGCAAAAAAATGTGAACTGTATTGATCCAATAAAGGTTTGTTTGGGATGTTTTGTTCATGTGTGTGTGTCCACAAACCTGCCATGTCTGGATGCAGTGTAAACAGTGCCCTCCTCACTCCCGACCACATAGTTGTTAACGTCTCCCGTGGGAAAAGCCATGCCTGTCACTGCTACAGGTTTGGATTTATTGTATACTAGTTCCATGGTCTCCTACATACACACACACACACACACACACACACACACACATACATTGCAACAGTTATAGAAAATACATGTGGAATCCCAGACGCATGAACAGTAACACACCATTTTAACAAACTATTTAATCTAATGTTGAGTAACAAAATGCTCTTCGTCCTTAAAGGTTATATATTGGATAGTGATGCACCGATACATTTTTTTTCAGTTACAATCTGATTCTGGTATCTGAATTTGGATATCTGTTGCAAACCGATACTGATACAGCTTAATTAAATTGGTAGTATTGTACGATGCAGCACAACTTCCACCCCTCAGGATGCTTTACACTTTACGCTGCTGTCTTGCTCTTCTGTGTTACAAGACTAAAATATTTATTTCAACCAAACCAGAGTTGGTAATAGTTGGAACAGAGGAAAGACCAACAAAGATGGTTTCTGTGAGTTTTATTTCATTTTTGTCCACTTTGAATGAAGTTACGATGACATGCGAGGGAGCAGTAGCGATTGATAGCAATATTACGGTTGTTTCTCGTTAAACAAAAGGTCTAACTGTCCCCAAGGATGTTACATGGCAGCCACTGTAGCCAATTTTGCAGTTATTTTCTCATTTAGGTCAGAGAATTAAGGGTGTATTTTGACCAAACCAGAGCTGGTGATTGTTGGAAGGACTGTGGAAAGACTAACAAAGACAGTTTTGGTGAGTTTTTTTTGTTTCTTTCCAGTTTGAAGTGCGTTTTGTGATTATGTGCTAGGTAAAATAACTGATTTTGTCAATGGAGTCCGGTCTGAGAGGCTGGTGCTCTACAGCAAAATCTAGTGGTGTGTGAATTTCATATATATATTATAACATTATATATATAACATTTAATGACTTTTTGAGTGGTCAACAGGTTGTGTCAGCAGCGTTCTAGGTGATGTGTGTGCTATGTACCTGTGGCTGGGAGAGCATGTCCAGACTCCAGGAGCACATCCTGCCATCTGTAGACACAGTAATCAGGTTGTTGGCGTTCTGGGTGCCGACCACGTTCACGCAGTACACTGGGTGCTACACACACACACACACACACACACACACACAAAGAGATAAAAGATACACAGGGATCCAAAATGGATGAGATGGGTGGAGATACACACTTTCACAATACAACAGATAGTTTTCATAATCTCATAACTTACCAAATGTAATATGATTACAACAATCCCCACTGAGATGCTGTATTCAATCTTTACACATTTGGCAGCTTGGAGATTAAATATTTGGATATTTCCTAACTAGTAGGCTATCAGGGACAACAAATATTTCAATAATAAAATTTGATTTTAAACACGGTCCTGAAATGATTATGTAATTTT